GTTCTCGTAAAATGAAGGTGTTCTCGTTTACTACAAAATGAACAATAAACTTATTATTCACGTCATCAGACATTACATGATTAACATGTTACTGATCAAAGTAGGTAAAAAATAAGAAAATTTGAAACTTTGTTATAGTAAATAAAAAATTTGGAAAGTGTTACATTAATTGAGATTGTTTTATTACACTATGGGGGTGTACCGGATTAGAGATGGCCAAATAAGCCCGGCCCGGCCCGGGACCGCCGGAGGACCGGGACCGGGACCGACAAAGGACCGGCCCGGGACCGGGACCGGGACCGGTAAGGACCGGTTATTGGACCGAAAACTAGGACCGGTTGAGGTTTTTGGTAGTTTCGTGGGACCGGGACCGACCGGGACCGGTTATGGGACCGACTATGGACCGGCCCGGCCCGGCCCGAAAATTCAATTAATTTTATAAATAAATGTATTTTTAAATAATTTTATAATGTATTTTTATAAGAAAACGTAATTTTAATTATATTAAAACGCATTTTTAAAGTGTATTTGAGTGACCCAATTATAAATTTTATAATGTATTAAAAAAATATATCATTAAAAAAATAAAATAAAAAATCTTATTTTTTTAATGAAGGACCGGTTGGGACCGGGACCGGGACCGGTGGCCCATAACCGGTTATAAAGTACCTATACCGGTCCTATCATTTTCGACCGGGACCGGGACTGAGACCGGGACCGGTTACGCCGGGACCGGTTATGGCCGGTTATGAGAATGTTGAGGACCGATTGGGACCGGCCCGGGACTGGCCCGGGACCGGTTTTTGGCCATCTCTGTACCGGATTGCTTATTTAGAACAGCTTATGTTTTTTTTTTGTAAAAATGTTTATCAACTTATGTGGTGTAAAATCTGAGTTTTATAAAAAATGTTTGGATTAGTTTATGACGGTGCCAAAACGCAATAAGTTGATGAATTATCTTTTAGTGTTTGAAAATTTTTACTTATACTTGTAAAATAAAATATTACTTTATATTTGTCAGTACCAGGTTCACTTCCCCGAAATTGAGACCCAAAAACGAACCTAAAATGATGACAAAATAGTAATGATAAACGGCCTCGTGAAAGCATTGAATCATGGAGAAGGGAGAAGTCGACCGTCATCGTCATTTCTGTGCCTTCCCATTAATTCAGTGATCTTCTATTCATCTTTAGTATCATTTTGCTAATTCTTCATCGATGATGTCAGGAGTTGTGTATCGGTTTTATTTTTCTTCAAAAATCTCATCTTCGATGCAGTTTTTCAATGACCATTTGTTTTGAATTCGTTTATTGTCATCAAGTAATCCTTCAGAGAAACATAAAGATCCACCGATTACGTCAGAAGATGTGACGTGACCTCCAATCATATAGAATCTTGCCACTTAAAAGAAATGTCGATTCAAATTTTGCATACCAGCTTGCGCCATTTGTAAATCACAGATCATGACAGCAAAATCAAGAATTGTAATTCCTTTTTTCCACCATTATACAACATAAAAAACGCGTTGTGTACAGATGGCTAATTTATCTGAGTTTGAATTTTGGTTGTTACTTTTATTTGATTGGTTGGTTTTAAAGTAACGGAATATCTGTGTAGAATCATTTAGTTGATCACTACGAATCATCGACTTTGTATCCATTTGTATTTATTCTATTTCCATATTTATCGCCACAACCTATAAATAATTATATAAACGCTTTTTAAAAATACTGTTTCCTAATAACACTATGATTTATTTCATTATTATTCAAACCTTCAGAAATTCGTCAATCTAACCATAAGGGTGGTGCCTGATTGGTTTAAGCTTGGCTCTAAATGTCAAAAGTATTTGGAGGTCCCAAGTTCAAATTCAAGAAGAAATAAAAATCCCTTTTGTGGCCACAGAGGTTTAAATGCAGTGATTCCGGACTATCTGCAAAGCAGGTTGTTGTCCTGGGATTAGTCGGCTCGCATAGCGGGTTGAATATCCAGGTTAATAAAAAAATTCGTCAATCCATAACTACTTGTGAGGCACTTTTAATGTCGCATGTTAAAACCGTATGACTATTTATATTTTGAAACACAGTTCTCATTTTTCGTTTGGTCATGCCACATAAACGTAATCCACTACATTCAAATGTAGTATGGTTTACCGGTTTATTTTTGATTGAACGGTATTTCGAATTCAAGCTGTGATACGTTCACTACCAATATATCAGAACAACAGCGTCTTTTGACGCCAACTCTAGCAATTGTAACCCACTTGTTGCCGTCAGGAATAATTCATATTTGATCATTGTTCTTATCACGTTTGAACATGGAATTTCCTTTAGATACAAGTAGATGGTCACGTCTTTTGCATTGTGCTTTTTATTTCCCATAAACTAGACGAAATTCTTATTTTTCCATACTTCAACTTCCGCTCATTGGGCTTTATTTATAAACTGGGCCTAAATCATGTTTATAAGATTAAATAGGAGTTGGTGGTATGAAACCAGGCTTTTAATTCATCATTTTATGGACCGACCTCAACCATCAACTAAACAATTAAGTAAGGCAAACAATAACCAATAAGAACCGAGCTAGTAGGGGCAAAGGAAGTAAACACCTACCCTTGCCCCCGCCATCCACCACTAAGCCTACGCAAGCACCACCTCCCACACCCACCATCGCCCTCAATCCCACCCCTACCCACCACCTATCCTCGCCTCAACACCTCAACCCAGCCCCTACCCCGTACTCACCTTCGCTCCTATACCTACTCCCAACCATCCTTACCCACCCAAGGTCCACACACCCGGCCACCCAATGTGACAGTAGTGGTGTGGTGGTGGGGGGTTAGGGCGGGGTTGACAATGATAATAGTAGCATAGTTGTAGTGAGGGCAAGGGTGGTCGGTGTTGGTTAAAATGGATGTAAAAGGATGGAATTCAATTCCTTCCACTATGCCAAGAAATGATAAATTCATTGATTTGTAGAAATGAATGGAATTTGAAGGATTATATCCATTTCAAGAAGTGAACTAAAGAAAAGAAATTCTCGAGCCCCGTTGTCATCTGCTACATTCAAATGAGTCTGAGGTTGAATCATATCATTTTTTTTAATCTGTTTTTACAATACAAAGGTCGAAGAAAAAAAGAAATATTGTTTGTCCAAAAAAAGAAACTTAACATTGCTATTGTACAAATTGAAAAGCCTTATGGAAACCCTAATATTCTTGTAGAATTTATAGGCAACCAATTAAAAAATCGAGTTTCTTTTCACAAAGCAATGAAAAGGCTATAGAATTAACTGAACTAGCAGATACAAAAGAAATTCAACTGCAAATGGCAGGACGTATTGACGGAAAAGAAATTGCGCGTGTTGAATGGATCAGAGGGGGTAGGGTTCCACTACATAACCATTCGAGCTAAAATTGATTGTTGTTCCTATACCATAAAAACTAAATCCACAATAAACATATTATAGGGATCGTAGTGTAAAAACATCAAAACACAGGACCAAATCCACAATTACAAACTTTATTTATAGCATTTTTTTGTTTATTAACTTATAATTTTTAATCTTAAATCCTAAAACTCAAGAACACGTACATCATATCAAACTCTCAAATTTATTCCAAAAATTTATACTCAAGAACACGTATCAGAATGTTTGTATTCACGGCCCATTTAAGCCATTAAGCCAAACTTATTCCAAAAATACCATTTGGCTTAATGTTCCTTCTCGCATCCACATAAAAAATGATCCCCAAAAGTGGAGATGATGCTCTCCTTTCTCCTGTCACACTTGTTATCCAATCCGCTATGCGAGCCGACTAATCCCAGGGTGACCACTTGCTTTGCAGATAGTCCAGAGTCACCGCATTTGAACCTCTGTGGCCACAAGAGGGTTTTTATTCCTCCTTGGATTTGAACTTGGGACCTCCTGGTACTTTTGACCTTTGGAGCCAAGCTCAAACCAATCAGGCACCACCTTTGTGGTTTGGTGTTCTCCTTTCTTGTCATCGCTATCCCTTTTCATCGTTGTTCACTCCTTCCTTCTCTGTCATCTGTCTCGCTTCCTCCCTCAAGCTAGAGTTTTTGGCATGGATGAATGGAGTTGATGAGTTAAAAAACGGGGGTGAAGAACAAACAAACAATAGTTATTATTAAGGTTTTGAATCGAAAGGGTAAAATAGTAATTTTTCTCATTATTCGGTACAAGAACAAACAATAGTTTATAGAAATCTATATGGATAACTTAATTCATACAAACAAAGTAATTTGTAGAAGAATTGATGAAAAAAACACCATTACAGAAGGACTTGCAAAATTAGAACATAGGAAAGAAAACAAGATCCAAAATTAAATCATATAATTTCATACCAAAATCAACCTGAAGCAATCCGATGTCTAATCGAGTTATAAAATTGTCAAACTGTAGGTATTGGGTTGATATTGGGTTACTGTTATTTGAACCCAACCCAACCTGATGAACCCGATATCCTTTTATTTATTGAATTTATTATGATTGTTGAATTTTTATTAATACGTACATTAGACAATTACACTATCATGTATGCTATTCATATATGCATATTTTCAATCTATTCACATCTTTATATAACTCATTCGTATATATATTCAATAACTGTGAACATATATATGTAAATTGAGAAAATTAACTGAATATGATATACGTAAGAAGTATGGATAAATTATATCAAATAATTGATGATGAAAAAATAATTATAAGTAAAAAAATAACATATTTTAATTAAAAGAATATTTTAATGAACTAAAATATCAACCTGACGAACTCGACCAATCCGTACGAGTTAGGTTAGGTTAGGTTGGGTTAGATTTTGATGTGAATTAGATTGGGTTAAAGATTTTTTAAACCACAATCGTTAGGTTGAGAGTTGCTCATTCAACCCGATTAACCCAACCTAGCACCCCTGTTTGACATTTAATTCCACGATGATGATACAAGGAAGTAGTTTATCAGTTGAATTTTGTTATAAAGATGTTCATTTGACTATTAGAGCGAGATCCATTCTGTTGTCATTGGGGAAAAATTGCCAAGTAAATGACTAACCTTTATCTTCTACTGATTTCATTTCTGTTCATCCTATTCCGATCATCCAGCTCCTCCATCATCAACCCATCTAAAGTCAAACAAGTTTCATGGAAACCCAGGTCAGTCAGTTTGTTCTTCAGTTGTTTGTATGCAGCTTTTCAGCTTATTCCATAATGCAAAACCACCGAATCAAGTCGTTCTGTTAATTTTGGTTTCATGATTTGAATTTTTGCAGGGCTTTCGTCTACGAGGGTTTTCTTACAGAGGAGGAATGCGATCACATGATTTCACTTGTGAGTGGTGCTTGATTTATTTGCTAGATTGTATAAGAACTTTGATGTGGCCATTATTGACGTGAAGTGGATTGAAACTAAGAAATTAGAAGAAACAGCCACAGTTTGTTGCAATTAATTTCTTATAGGGAAAGATTTTAGAAGTTTTTGATCTCACGATTTGTATTAGTCGTCACAAGAACATATTGAATAGCATTGTGGGGGTGTTATGTAACAGGCCAAATCTGAGCTGAAGAGATCTGCAGTCGCGGATAATGTATCTGGGAAGAGTAAGCTTAGTGAGGTTCGAACAAGTTCTGGGATGTTTATCCCCAAGTCCAAGGTACTTTTATGACCCTTTTCTTGATTCTTTGTTTGGAAGCATTGGAATGTTAGGTAACATGTAAACACAATTTACAGTTTGATAAGAGTGCAATATGGATCTATTTGGGTTTTCTACAAAAAAAACATCAATTTTTGGTTGTTCATACGTGTCATCTCTCATACTTTTCCTTGTCTAGTCCCAAAATACATGATATCTTTAAAAGATCAAGATGCTCACCACTGAAAATAAGCATTGGCGACCCTGCACTAGTACCACTTCTTTTGCGGTGAACGAAGTATTCTTGATGTTATTTATTCTTAAAGTCCTAATATGTTAAGTGATGATTCGAGTATTCATTATGGCATGGAGAAAATTGTAATTTGTTGGAAGACTTAATACTGTGGGTTTAATGTTGTGTTATGCTGGTGTTCTAGTCTCTGCCAATTAGGTTTATGTATTCATATCATGCTCATAATATATTTTATGCAACTTCAGCTAAACCATACTCTTCTTCTTTGGACCTACACACAGACTTTTCCTTGGTCATACCCAACCATGAAAGAACTCAATTTAACCTCTGGGACCTCTGGTTTGCGACCTGACATGCCTTTTATTGTGCCACGTTTGAGTGGTTGAACTCTTCTCTTGTTGGTTACCCTTTTGGTTTGTGAAGTGGACTATTCCCATCTGGTGGTCAGTTTGGTGCAATTCCTTTACAGTACACACTTGCTTGATAAATGGATATATCTAGACTATATCTGGTTTGCATGAGCTCTTGTATTTAGTTGCTAGATCATTTAACCCTCTTTGGGTACTAGGTTTGATATTAGCTCTAGTTTTTATCTAATAATTAATTTATTTCTTTTTCTTGCTTTGCTCGGTTGCTTTCTTAATGTTTCCTGTTTCTTTGGTTATGGTTAACTCAGCAGTGGTTGCGGCTATTTCGCACTTCAAGTTTCTATTATTCTATATCGTCCAAATATGGGATGGGAAGGAATTATTTATGTTTACTAGATTATATTTTTCATTTTGATGTTTTTATTTGTGTGTTTCAACTTTCAAGCATGAGGACTTTTAGAAGATAGATAACTTTGTGTTGGTCGTTAGCAAGAGATTGATGTTGACTTTTTCAGTGCTACATGAAGCCCACCATACCATATGATTCTCTGTAATATATTAATACAACTATGGCTTCTTTCTTAAACTAACATACCTTTCATCATCTCTTTTTTTGCTTTTTAAAAAGGACTTTTTATAACATAACCCGCCACAATCCTTAGAGAATATCCAATGATGGCAAAGGAAATGAATTATCTTTTTTCTTTTTCATATAGAAATTCAATCTAGTATATCAGCCTAGGCATTTAAGATCGTGACCTATGTGCAACACAGGCGAACTGTTTTTAAGTTGGCTTCTGCTTAAGTTTCACAACTGTGTAGTGTCCTTAGGATAGTTATCTGAAATACTTCTGATTTCTCAAAAGAAGACAAGGAGTTGAAAAAGGTATTATTAATAACACCAATAAGACAATAACGATAGTAATAATGACAATTTGTGTGTGTGAGAGAGAGAAAAAGTGGCAAAAAGGGGGGGTGGAGTGGGATAAAACATTGGTAAGAAGAATGCACACATTTGCCTGTTTCCAGCAGTTCTTGACACTGTTATCTCATCTGATCAATATTAGTGCTAGGTAGCTCATAGTTTTAACTTTTGACCTGGTGATTAATTAATGGAAAATATAACTTGATTTTCCATTTATTCACATTGAGGCTTGAGCATCTTCTCGATGGTACATCATTATATATGTCTCGGTTAAGTACCACCAGATTGAGGTTATTAAATGTAATACTAACTGAGTGATGAGGTTAACTAGTAACAATCCGTGAGAATTGAGGAAATGCTGGAAGATTTTTCGAATATATATTGTAAAATCTTGATAAATTCTTTTCTGAATGGGATTGTCTGCTTGGAAAAAACTATGGTAAACGACAGAGAATAAGGTGTAGGTTAAATTGCAAAACTATTCCTTATCTGCATCAGTAAGTTTATGTATATGTATTGACAGGGAGATGGTGGAAACGAAGAAGATAACTGATTCATTAGAGACTGCAATAGGTTACTTATTGCAGGCCACAGATTGATTATTTGCAACATCACATTGATGGGCCATATCCTTGCCCATAATAGCTTTGTTTGTTGGCAAAAATGTCACATTTTGAGTAGATTATGCATTTGATCTTCAGTTCTGGGAGCTTTATTTCAAATTTCCCAGCATTTACTTATAGACGATATCTATTAAATCCTTGGTCCTAAATTTCCACTTTTCTCCTTGATATGCTTCCTAGCATAGGCATCAGGTGTTCCTCATCTATTTAGGTCCTTCATGCTCATTCGCACAAGTAGGAAGGGATCTTTCATCAAGCGTTCCTCATCTATTTAGATCCTTCGTGCTCATTTGCTCTAGTAGGTGCTCTCGGAGACGCAAAAATAGGATAGCAGACTAGGGTAGCAGACTAGGGGTGGAAATCTGTTGGAAAGAATCTGGAGAGATTGAGGATGGGGGTAGGGTTAGTGCGCCTGCAGTTAATATCTACTGAGTCCTAGGTTAGACTAGGGGTGTGTAGTTTTTCTTACCTTGGCTATGTCTTCTTGTACCTGCTTCGGTTTGTATTTTCTGTTTGTTTGCCGTTTGAATGTTGTTGCTTACTTTTAATTCGTTTTTCAAACTTTAGCACTGTCTTTCCTGTTTTCAAGCTCTTATGTCTTATTGCCGCAATTTTTTTGAGGAAGTTTATCCTTTTGTTTCGCACACACAAGCCGGGGGTCTCCATGGGAACAACTGCTCTACTATTTGGGGTAGAGTTAGGTCTGCGTATGTCCCACCCCCATACCCCACTCTGGGTAGGACATACTGGGCTTCTTTGGTTTGGTATGCTCATTTGCATAAGTTGATTATCAGTCATAGTTTGCCCTCAAGTAATAATCTGGCTGAAATTTATGATCCATCTGACCTATGCTTGGTGCCAATTCATGTGACATATCTTGAGATATACCAGCGTGGTTGGTTTATACCTCATGCCGGTTTATTGATCACGGGATATTAGTTTTTCTGTTAATCACCTATTGAAAATGGAAGGATTAAGTGTTTCTAACTAGTTAGAAGCTTTTCTATCTATGTTGATGGGTTGCTCATGATAGTTGGTGTTCTTTATGCTACCGCACATTTTATCTTCCAAAGATGATGCTCAATGCTATCTAATTAGTTGCTGCTTCTGGTTGCTAAAATGTTCTTCCTCTATTGGCCTTACTTATTCATACCCGTTTGCTCTTGGCATTAGGATCCAATTGTTGCTGGCATAGAAGATAAAATTGCAACTTGGACCTTCCTACCAAAAGGTATGCTTCATTACAGATGACACTTTAAGCAACATCTTTCTATTAATTTCTATTATAAGAGGTGAGCTGAGTTGATGAGTTCACTTTTTCTAAAATGTAAACCTGTCCCCTGTTCTGTTTGTGAGTGGTCTAGCTCCTGTAAGTCCTGGACACACCCTTGTCAAAATTTCCAGTTGGAACTACCTCTTATTGAAACTTTTGGTCATTGGGGAAGAGGGAGGGATGGCAAAGAGATTATTGTGGTATGTGTGGTGCCATTTGTGGTTTTGCCTTGTTTTATTAGGGTGCATTTGTAACACAGGATAGGTGGAACAAAAATGAGGGAGATGGGACAAGATTGGTAAATTACTAAACTACCCATGTCAAATTAAAACCGTGAAACCTTCCACAATTCCTTCACCCGACTACCTCATTCTCCCCCGTCCAGTCCTATTCAGCCGCATCTGCGTACTAAAGTGAAGGGGTGGCTAGTTTCCCTGCTTGGCTACACCTGGATTTGCTATAGCCTTTTCTAATAGAGCATACAGTGACATTTGTTCCAACCATGAAGTACTACTATCTTCTAATTTCTTATAAGCTTTCTGTAATAAATGGACACTGCACTAAATACCAACACCAAGGGATTTTAAATAGGTTTAGTGTACATTTGATTGTTTTATTTAGTTAAACAAAATGTTCCGAGGAAAGAATTATGTCTTGCCATCGTTACTTGCATCAGCGGTTCCCATAATCTTTTGACTGTTAGGCATGTACATGTTTCTGAAACTGTTTGTTTATGAACTCTCAGAAATTTACTAAAAGCTTCTAATTTCATGGAATCTTAGAGCTTCTTTCTTTCCTTGGTTCCTTATTATTTCTTACTATATCTGGCTGTTGATCTTGGGGGTACACCAATGCGCGAGTATGATGCCAAAGCTTAGACCACTTTCAGACACCTAAAAATTAGCTTGTACCCTTGAGGCCTTACCAAAGCATGATCTTTAACCAAAGGGTACCCTAACTTACCCTGTATCCTGGTCAACTGGTCTAATCAACAATAATTTGCTAATGACTTCTAGATGTTTGTGGATTTTAATTGACATTTCTCCACGACAATAGAATCCTGGACTAGTGAAGTCAAGGTTCACTTAGGTCCCTTTTGGTTTGCAGGAAATGAATGGATTTGGGGGGATTTGGATTTTAAATCCATTCCAATTCCATGTTTGGTTTGTTGGATGTCCGGATTTGAAATCCTAGGATTTAATTGAAATCCTACAAATATAGGATTTTGAAATCCTTAAGGGGTGCTCGGGATTTCACGGGATTTCGTAGGATTGTATGCAATAAGGTATTAGAAAATGTTAAAAACATTTGTTTTGTAATAATCGATTAATAAAAATGTAATTTAATTATTGTTATAATTATTTATAAATAATGGAATCCACTTCCATTCCAAATCCTACAAACCAAACACACCAATGATTTCAAATCCATTCCAATCCAAATCCCTCCAAATCTAAATCTCTCAAAAACAATCATGCAAACCAAACGGACCCTTAGGCCATGTTGGCAACCAAAGTTAGCTTATGTTTTGAACTTATTGAAAAAAAAACGTTGCTTGGTTAGCCATAAGCTAGCCTTTTGATATGCTACTTCAAGTAGCGTTTTCATAAGCTTCAGGTTTTTTTTTCTTTCTTCTGACTACTTTCTAATGGTGTTAAATTTTTACCTTATGTGTATGCTAAGATAACCAAAAGAATGCCAAGTAGTGTTTCAATAAGCTAGTTTTTCGAAATGCTACTTCAAGTAGTGTTTCCATAAGCTTCAGGGTTTTTTTCTTTCTTCTGACTACTTTCTAATGGCGTTAAATTTTTACCTTATGTGTATGCTAAGATAACCAAAAGAATGCCTGCCAAAGATAACGGTAGATGGAACTCTTTAGTTGCTAATTCATCAGTTATTTAAGCTTCTCTCACTTCCCTTGTGACCCGTTGTGGCCTTGCTCCAGTAGCTTCCTTTTTTTGTAGTATATAATATTTATATACTGCAAAAGTCACGCACACTTCTCACCAAAGATGCTTGAACCTTTGATCTCCAAGGAGGTTGGGATTTACCGGTAACCAGTATACCGCTGGGTTAATAACTCTTTGGTTCCAGTACCTGCTTTTTTGATAAATATTTTGTACAAAGACTACAGCTAAATACTTTATGATCTTAGCACCTCTGTTAACTCTATACTTAAATGTTAATAATCATTTCTTTTTCTTTTTAGAAAACGGAGAGGACATACAAGTGTTAAAATATGAGCATGGCCAAAAATATGATCCGCACTTTGATTACTTCACTGATGCTGTTAACGTTGCACATGGCGGACACCGCATAGCAACTGTGCTGATGTATCTGAGTGATGTTGAAAAAGGTGGTGAGACGGTCTTCCCATCAGCAGAGGTTTGTCAAAAATTTCTTGTCACTTCTTATCTGTTGCTGAATTTCATCTGATTGATGAAGTTTATAATGTTGATAGGTGGCTTCTCGTCACAAAACATCAAAATCAGACGATGATTTGTCTGAATGTGCAAAGAAAGGAATTGCAGGTGAGCGAATGACACACAATGTATCCTTGCTTCTTTAAACTCGTTTATTGAATCAATTCACAGCCACATCTAAAATGCTACTGCAATATTTAGTTAGTTTAGTGGTTTCTTACCTTCTCGTATGAATTTGAATGCGCTTGATAAGTGGGACAGGATAGAACAAAACTTTTTGTACTACGTTTGGTAAATTACTAAACTACCATGTCAAATTAAAACACTAAAACCTTGCACAATTCTTTCACCTACCAACCTCATTCTGTTTAGTTCTGTCTCATGTCCAATCCCATCTGCGTAGCAAATGCACCCTTAATGTCCTTTTGTGCTATTCATTCTTATTATTTTCTTCAACTTCTCTCAACTCCATTTCTTTCTTTTTGTTTCGGATCTCTTCCCTTTCTATCAACCTGAGGCCAAACTTTTAGAACAATTTCTTTCACAAAATCATTTTCTCAAAACCTTCTTACAAACCGGGGTCTTCGGAAACAAAATGTTGTTATTTTTGTCAAACCTTTTTGAACTCCCCTTTTTTTCTTTCTTACTTATCCTTTTTCCAAAGCAGGGGTTTTCTTGTAAACAACCGTTCTACTGTTGGGGGTAGAGGTCACACCTGTAAACATCTCACCCTCCCCATCCCCCACCTCCGAGTGGGATAGATTGGGTTGGTTTGGTTTTGTTTGGGTCTTCATGGACACAGTCTCTCTGTTCCTCGGGGGCATAGGTAAGGTCCAGATACATCCTACCCTTCCCAGACCCTAGTCCATGTGAGATTTAGTGCTTTTGTTTAATTTATTTTGGTTTATCTAAAATGGTTGTGCAAAAACAAAACAGTGAAACCAAGAAAAGGAGATGCACTGCTGTTCTTCAGCCTGTACCCAACAGCCATCCCGGATGCAACCAGCCTCCATGGTGGTTGCCCTGTAATCGAAGGGGAGAAGTGGTCAGCAACCAAGTGGATCCATGTGGACTCGTTTGACAAGATTGTTGGTGGCGGTGGGGATTGCAAAGACCAAAACGAGAACTGTGAGCGATGGGCGGCACTGGGAGAGTGCACCAAGAATAAAGAGTATATGATAGGAACTCCTGAACTTCCTGGTTACTGCCGAAGGAGCTGCAAGCTGTGTTAACTAGCCTCATTTTCCCACTGAATCATGTAAGTTTTGCTTTCAATTTGCTAATATATATATCCTTTTGCTAATACTATGATCATTCTATGACAAAATATGGGTTTTATATTTAAATCTTATGTTATAACTTTGGTCTTATATTTGAATCTTATTTTACAACTTTTTAAAGATCTTACTTGTTGATCGTAAGATCTAAAGTTTGTCCGAGGGAGTTCTTCGTATGTTTTTGCCGTAGCGTGTACAAGTTAGTGCTCGTAATTTTTTTGCTCAGCCAGCTTAACGAGTGTGATGGTTCATCAATCATCACATTGAATCAGTTTAGAGTGTCGGGATGCCACTGCAACAGTAGGACCGTTAGGTTTTAGGTCTTGTTTTGTGCATTTAGGAAATGGTGGTAACATCATACTAGAGCTGTTTTCACATTAATTATTAGTTCATTTCCATGTATCATTCGTATGTCTCTTTGCATCTCATCTTCAACTAAACAAGAACCACTGCCATATATATTTTTATTTTCATCCCAAACAAAGATATACAAAATGGACACGAAAGTGTGGAAACAGTTTCAGAAAATGAAGAAAGCCAGAGAAGATACACTCAGCATGATAATTCTCGATCACGCTTCTCATTGTCGGTCAATACTTGGGATCTGCGAGAATGCATGCCAGTGCTACGTTATAAACACGAAGAAGTTCCTTTTGTATCTGCATGTTTGTTGGGTAAGTGAGTCGTGCATCCAATATATTGGCCAATGAAGTCTTACGATTGGTAGACCCAAGTTCGAATCGTGTTAGTGTCATTTGACTTAGTCAAATGGTGCCACCGATTGAATTTTTTTTCGTATATTTGTTTCTTATAGTCAAACGCTGCCATCGTTTCCCTATAGTTTTTTCTTATAGTCAAACGGTGCCACCATTTGAAAAATTTATGGATCCGTCCCTGAAAGTAGCGGTGAAAGAGTTATTAGAAACATCAAGTGCTAGTAATTGTTTTAGTTTATATGGAAGAAGTAAGAGTAGGCCACATTCTTACGATGTTTGAAGCACAAGTATATATTCATTCATACCCACAACACAAGCCACATAATTCCATGGAAGGAGAGGAATCTTTTGAGTCAATATGTCAACGTTTCCAAATTTTCTTACCCGTAAGAGGGGTTCATGATTGCATGCTTTCCACACAAAAAATTGCAAGCCAATTCCATTCAGTTATCCAATTGTATATGATATTTAACCATTTATAATCTAAAAAACGTCAACTTAATGTATGGTTTATGACGGTGAAAACAAAACAGACCCCACCTCTCAGTAGGATATACTGGGTTGGTTTAGTTTATCTAAAATGGTTGTGTGAAAACAGAACAGTGAAACTTCTTCAGGCTGTACCCGACATCCACCCTGGATGCAACCAACCTCCATAGTGGTTGCCCTGTGGTCAGCAACCAAGTAGAATCACGTCAACTCGTTCGACAAGATCGTTGGTAGCGGCAGGATCTGCAAAGACCCGAATGAGAACTGTGAATCATATTTTAATTACTTTTAAAGATCTCACTTGTCGATCGTAAGATCTAAAGTTTGTCCAAGGGAGTTGTTCACATGGACCGGTTGATGCCAAAGACCACAAATAAGAAAAGATGTTAAAGTTTGTATGTTTATGCTATACGGTGTACAAGTTAGGGTTTGTTTGTTTTTTTGCTCAAAAAAGCTTAACGAGTTTAATGCTTGGTCAGATTGAATCAGTTTAGAGTGTTGAAATGCCACATCAATAGTAGTAATGTTAGATTTTAGATTATGTTATGTGCTTTTAGGTGTCTCATTCAGGGTTGGTTTTCTTAGGAAATGGTAGTTACATCATACTAGATCCCTTCAATCCAGAGGTATCATTTTCGCATTAATTAGAGTTCATTTCCATCTCTCAATCGTACGCTTCTTTGCATCTCATCTTCAACTAAACAAGAACCAGTACCATATCTTAATTTGTTATCCCTAACAAAGATATATAAAATGGACATATGAGTGTGAAAACCGTTCTGAAAATGAAGAAAGCCAGAGAAGATACACTCAACGTGATAATTCTAGACACACCCTTCTCATTGTCGGTCGAGACTTTGGATCTGTGACAATGCATGCCAGTGCTACATYATARACACGAAGAAGTTCCTTTTGTATCCGCRTGTTTGTTGGATAAGTGMGTCGTGCATCCAATATATCTCCCAWTGATGTCCCATGACTAGAATATATGTTTAAYGATGACAAGAGATCTCCAGGATGCTTCCCTCCAATTGTTTCAAGTGCCACCACTCCAAAGCTATACACGTCGCATTTTTCGGTCACAATCATGGTATAGGCAAGTTCTACATGATCATAACAAATGATTGTCACTGAATTTTTAATACAAAATCCATCAATATATAAGCATCAGACWTGATATAAATACCTGGCGCAATGTATCCCAAAGTTCCAGCAATGACRGTTTGGTTGGACGAATCAGGGTCGAGCAATCTAGATGCTCCAAAGTCGGCAACACATGCTTCCATTTYTGAGTTCAAGAGAATGTTGTTGCTTGATATGTCTCGATGAATGATGGGTGGGTTGCAATCATGATGCATATATGACAAAGCATGGGCTACGTCCTTCAAAATTTTCACCCGTTTGATCCAATCAAGTCTTACAACTTCAACGTCTCTTAGTGCGCAAAATAGGCTCCCATTTTCCATGTATTCGTATACAAGGAAGTTGTAGTTTTTATGGAAACAAAACCCRTAGAGTTTCACAATGTTTTTGTGCCTTAGGTTGGTTAACACGTGGACCTCGTTCTTGAARCTTTTGTTCAATGCTGGTTGCTTTGCTTCGTACCTATGGAGTTTCTTCAGAGCAAATGTTTTACCACTCGGTAGTTTTGCTTCATAAACACTACCATAGCCACCGGTTCCAATGCAGTATTTGAGGTCAAAATCCTCTGTTGCCTCGATGAATTCTTCGTATGCAATTGTTCCATTATAATTCAATATCWTGCCCACATCTCCATGTGTTTTGGTTTCCGGTTGGCTTTTCTTTTTGGTAGCCTTGTGACGATGGCAACACACACAACCAAGCACTAAGAAGCAAAATCCGACCATCACGAACCCAAATCCAACTATCATGGAAAGAAAAATGTACAAATAGAGGACATGTTTGTGTATTCGCGGGTGTGTGAATTGATTGTCAGCCAGATTTAAGAACTTCAAATTTGGTAAATTCGAAAAGTCAGGTGTTTCTCCAACTAAATTGTTACTACTAAGGTCCAAGTACTCTAAACCAGAGCAATGACTAATAAGTTGACTTGGGATATTTCCAGTCATTAGATTCTTAGAGAGGTCTAGATGYMCAAGATAACAATGATATGGAATCATTACATTTCCCGACAATTGGTTTGACGAAAAATCAAGATAGAGAAGTCTCAACGACTTTCCAAGATTAGAAGGAATATCACCCACAAGGTCATTATGACTCAGGTCTAATGTTTGTAGCTCTTGCAAGTTACCTAGTTCCYTAGGGATGGATGATTTCAGTTGATTGYTGCTCAAGTCCAGAAAGGTGAGACTGACCATGGAACCAAAAGTTGTAGGGATGGATGAATTTAGTTGATTTMTGCTCAAGTCCAGAAWGGWGAGACTGACCATGGAGCCAAAAGATGTCGGGATGGATGAATTTAGTTGATTTCTGCTCAAGTCCAAAAAGGTGAGATCGACCATGGAACCAAAAAATGATGGGATTGGACCCGTAAATCTGTTTTGATTAAGATCTAGATGAACCAAATTCCTCAAACTCCCTATTTGATATGGCAGAATATCACTAAAATTGTTATGAGAAAGATCAAGGTATACTAACTGGGTGAGATTGTTGTAGGAAACAGGTAACTTAGTGGCACAAGGAATTATACCATTCAGATTGTTATAACTYAGGTTTAATGTCCGTAGCCGATTCAACTTACCTAGTTCCAAAGGGATGGATGAATTCAGACGATTTCCGCTCAAGTCCATGGAGGTGAGATTGACCATGGAGCYAAAAGATGTAGGGATTGGACCAGTAAATCTGTTGTGACTAAGATCCAGATTAGCCARATTCTTCAAACTCGCCATTTGAGAAGGGAGAATACCAGTGAAAGAGTTATAAGAAAGATCAAGTGTTTCTAAYTGGGTGAGATTGGTGAAGGGARCAGACAACTCACCATCGAGATAACTCCCTTTAATTGAAAGATGGATCAGATTTGATAGCAAGCCAATTTGCTCTGGGATGACTCCTCGAAGCATGCAATCAACAATAAAAAGACGCTGGAGGTTTGGAAATGAAGAAAAGTCAAGCCATTTCGCGTCACAAGTATCGTTACAATTCTTTTTACAGTTAGCATATATCTGCATAACACTTCCTTCCTTGTTGCAAGTGATTTCAGGCCAAGTACAATAAGCTGAAGTACGATTATACGTCCACGAGAAAGCTGCATGGAGAGCTTTTGATTCGGAAGACTTGTTAAAATGATTAGCAAGAGTTGGTGATAACATGAAAAGGAGCCCCAAAAGCAGGAGAGTTTGCATGGAAGAAGTGAGAGGAGGCCACATTCTTACGATATTTGAAGAGGATAAGTCTGAAGCACAAGTATATATTCATACCCACACAATTCCATGGAAGAAGAGGAGTCTTTTGAGTCAATATGTCACCGTCTCCAAATTTTCTTGCCCGTAAAAGGGGTTCATGATTGCATGCTCTCCACACAAAAAATTGCAAGCCAATTCCATTGAGAGTGTGTGTATATATATCGACTTTAACGTTTCATTTTATTCCGTCTCTGTAGATGTTTTAATATGGTTTTTATGTGGTTTTGAGAAATGAATAATGTTTTTATTTTTGAATAAAATATAAATTTGAAGATATCATAAAATTTCAAAAATAAATATAATATCAAATTAACTATTTAAAAGTGGTTGTTTTTCGTGTAATTTCTTTAATTCAAATTTTTATTATAATTTAATTTAAATTTAATAACGGAGTAATTATTTTTGATTTAATAATATATAATTTTTTTATAAAGATAATAATTAAGTATTTTGTTAGAACTCAATGATTATCGTAATTATATATTTGTTTTTTTTTCTTGTATTTGACTATGATTATCTACAGTTAGTTACGCGAATTCAAAAACAAAGCTTTAATAAGTTGTACTTACGTACAGTTTGTTTATAACCTTGAATTTTAAGTAATATGCATCAATAAATAGTAATTTATGCATAAAAAATGGTTTTCAAGAGTTTTTGTTAAATGTTTTATCTATACTATCTTATTAAGCAAATTTAGCAAAAGTCTTAAAGTCTTAAAATACTAAATGACCAAAATACCCTTTATACTTACTTTTTCACTTTTTTCACCCCTTCCTCTCCTCACATACACTCACCTCTCACAACCGATTTTTTTTTTAAATTATAATTTTAAATTTAAATTATATACTAATATAATTAATTAATTAATTTACTTTACGTCCTTTACTTTTAAATGTTTCATTTTAAACTTTTATCAAATTAACATACATAATCGTATGTCAATTAAAACATGTTTAAAAAATACATTTTTATTTTAACAAGATACAGTTACACCATTATAATCGTCTTGTTAATACTTTCRAAATAAGTCCAATATTGAATAGTTTTTTACTTAATTATATTATTATATATTATATACACCGTGAAAAAATATTTTAATATTTATGATTTATACTTTTATAGTTATTTATGTATATATACTATATATTTTGGGATTAGGCTGTCCAAATTGCACTGTATAATATGTTTTGAA